AAAAAAAAAAAAAAAAAAAAAGCTTTATGAAAATTACTGAGGGGTGTGGAACAGCGGCATAAAGTAGCCAAAACGATGACGTTACGTCAGCAGTGCAAAAAATGTTCAGTCACCCAAGTTTGAGGTAAGCTGTGCAGTGGTGGGAGTAGTGATGCATCTTGGACGGGACTGACCATTTGTAGCAACATGAATGTGGAGAGGTTGCTGAGAAGTACGGAACAGTTTCTGAAGCCTCATAAAAAATAAGTGGTGTGTTCTCTATGACATCGAGAAAAGGTTGGTGGTTAGTTCTTGTTAAAAACAGAGAGGCTTGCTTTGTGTGTAGCTGCGTATTTATACAGATGTTACATTTATACCTTTATTTCGCTTTTACCTTAGGTCTGAAGACCTGAAAGGAAAGCTGCATTAGCTCTTTTCATACGAAGGACTGCCAAAAAATAAAAATTTTATAAAGCAGACCGATTGGAAGTCAAGGAGTAAACCGCACGCTTTCAAACGGAACCTAGTGGCAACCGCCCCCTTCCCTTTGCTGTTCTCCTCTTTACTATCCCCTTCCTTAACTTTCTCGCCAAAAATCAGCTAGCCAATCATCGCGCTGGGACGTAAGGTCCAAAAGGTCCAAAAACCCTGCCAGAAGATAATGAGTATCTGCTGGAATAATCCCAAGTTTTCGAAAGTGAAGCTTGATAAAGAAGTGGTCCTGAGTCAATTTCCCATCCTTCAGAACTTCCTGACGCGACCGTCCGCGATACCCACGTCTTGAACACTTCCAATGATTCTACAGGAGATTAAATGTGCATCAAACATTTGATGTTCTTGGATGTGAAAGGTGCAAAATTAGGCGAGTTAAGTCATGTATAGCAAACCGTAGCAAAGATGGTCATATTAAGATTTATAAAAGTAGTACAACTTCTCTGGGATTTTTAAATTTAAATTGAGAGGAAATGATTTCAACCTTTTACGTCCAGGCGGGTCAAAGTTTTGTTATTGTTTGCCCAAATTTGGCAGCATTGAGTTTTAGTTTTCCAACATATAATTTCCAAAAAAGATAGTGGAAATTATTTTGTTGAAAAATTTCGTTTCTTTTTTTGTTGTTCATTGTTGTACAGTTTCCTTAGTTTTGGCTCCATTTAAGTTTCGTTCCTTATCTGGTTTACTGAGCACTATGTTTGTTACTCTAGTTCCCCTGTTGTAGTGTCCTTAGTTCAAAAATAAAGCTAGTACCTTAATTCTTCATTGCAAGATAAGAACTTAAGCTGTCAGAAATAGGGTTAGGATACTAACGTAAAAGGGGTAGGCTGGATATCACAGGGTCAAGTAGGGCACATCCCTAAGAACATAATCTTCTCAAATAAAGAACAAAACTTTCGATCTAGGAAGATCGAAGACCTTCAAAGTGCTTTAAGAGAGGAGAATTGAACTAAGTTAATTGGGCTAAGGGTCATCAGCCGGATTCATGAATTACGCGTTTTTTTATATGCTAGCCTGTGTTTCCTGTACAAACCTGCTGCAGTTTTGGTAGATTTTTCTTTTATTAGAGTATCTATTACGAGGTCAAACTATGCTGGTTAGAAGACTAACGCAATAAGGTCTTTCGACATTCTAGATGAAATGTACACCTTCATGATCCGTCCAGCTCAGCAGAAAATTATTTCTGCTTTTTATGCGTTGTGGTGAAAAATTTGATATGAAGAAATATATCCTTCTCAAGGCAAGGTCAAACAAGTACTGCAAAAATGTTTTTGAAGCTCCGCTGCTGGATAAGAGCGGAGTCAAAAATTAAGTGTACAAAAAATAAGACAAAAAACGGTATAGGAAGGAAGTGCATTTTAAACTAAGCATCATAATTTGTAATACTGTCTAGGATTGGTACTCATACTGTATTGACGGTTTTCCACCTGATCCGAGAACAGCAACTGTTAGCAGTGCGCTTAACGACAAGAAAATGCAACTAGGAATTAACATAATTTTCACACTATCACCATAACAGGCCTGTAGGACGAGTAGCAGCAACAAGGAGACGAGTAGTAAATTAAAAGCGGAGCAGCTAAAATAAGCAAATAAAGAACGAGATGAAGAAGGTTACCAATACTAAAGATTACTTCTGTAGCTCAACAGAAGAGCAACTGCCACCTTACCGCAGTTGCTGTATATCGCACTTTTCGGTTGAATCGAAATAACTGCAAACTGCTTCGTTCCCTACAAAATCAAGTACTTTTGCGATCAATGTGAAAGTTGGTTCCTCATTTCCCGATGCCTTCTCATCGACAAATGCATCAACAGCACTTCCCAAAGTAAATCGCCAAACATCAGAAATTCTAATCTTTATTTGCTACATATAGCATCCGCTACACTTATCAAATAAAAATCAGCGTTGCTTTTTAGGAAGGTAGGCGGCATACAAAATGAGTCCTCAGCGGTTGCACCTACTGCCGCCAGCATGCCACAGAGAAACGTGACGGCAGCCCCTCAGCCTTAAAAAACGAACTTTAAAAGTTCTCGATATTAGCAGGTAAGCCAAAAAAATCAAGTTTATCTTTCGTCGACGAATGTCAAGATTGACATAAATCCACCCGTCCGACTGTCCTATACCATATCATAAAGGGAAAACTACTACACTCATTCAATATATGCCCAAAACCAACGTAAAAAACATGAAAAAGAAATTTTGCAACATTGGTAAGCAATTTTAAAAAATAATTTTGACAGAAACAAAAGACTAGAAAAAGTGACCCGTAAACGAGGTAAACCATTCCTGTACAGTACCCATAGGTAGAGAAGGTTTCTCAAATTCACATAACTTAACGTTTTTTGTCTCCATCGATTAACAGTTGGGACGTTTACTTCGCCAACTAGCAGACGCGATACACATCGGAACCGTAGATTGGAAAAGCAACGGTACCAGATACATTACAGCTAATACAGGACGCGAAAGTAAATTAAACAGCAGAATATAGAGCAAGCATTGACGAAGTTGTCATTTTCAGTAGAACAATCGTACTCGCGTTCATTTCTAATTATGTGTCGAAGTTTACTGGCTGGAAAATGGTTTTGTTTTGGGAACGACTTCCGCAATTTTGGCGCAGTGCCACTGCGATGTAAAGTGGTACCTCTACGTTAAGCCAGCGGGCTCCGGAAAGGTATGTAAAACTTTTGTGTTACACGAGTGTATGAGGTGTAACAAAGAGCTTTTTTTAAAGTGTTTAGCCTGTTTGTTTTCGGAATTATATGCTTCTTGACTCCCATGTTGCCGAGATTTTCGCAGAAATGTGAGAGCGTTTTCGTTTTTTACACATTACTTTTCAATTTAATTACTTAAATAACTCAGTTAGTTGCGCGGAAACAGCTAACAGTTTTCTTATTGCAGAATTCTACGTA